AAATTCGTCCGTTTCGGCCGTGTAAACACACGAGAACAACGGAACCGGACGAATTTGAGACCTCCTAACAGGACGAATTCGCGTGTAAAAAGGCAAAAAAGGACGAATTTCTAAGTCTGGTTTAACAACATTCTGCGTTTGTTTTTAAACTATAAATATCTAGAAAATGAACACTATATAAACTCATCGTCTTGGTTGGCTTGGCACATAACAAACAAATTAATAAAACTTTCAAGTACATACTGTACATTTTGACTCCTTGTATAAATAAGGCATTATTGACGAATAGATCGGGTGGGCTATTATTAAACTGCCCGTAAATTCATGAAATCATGTTGTTTCAATACCTCAGAGCTCTTACAGTTGATTTAACGAAACTTTGGCCGCGCCAGTTGCGAGGTTGGTTGGGAATTTGGGAACTATAAACACGAAATCACCATGTTGATTGGAAACCGGCCGATCAAATTCGGAAGTTTCGCATCAAATTATCGAAATTCGTTACGAAATTCCGAACCAAATTTGCAAGCAAGTTCGCAAATTGCAAACGATTTTGGAAGTAAATTTTAAAAACTAAACTTATTTTATTAAACTATAATTATAATTTTAAACCAATTATTACTGTTATGATATTATTTATTAGTAAATGAATTTTAATAAAATATGTTTAGTTTTCACATCAAAATGGAAATAGGAAACACCACTCTACAGAAACTTTAAACATCTTCATTACGGACAAGATGCTGGAAGCCATGGACAAAAAACATGTAACAGCCCTCATTTTATTGGATCTGTCTAAGGCCTTTAACAGCATCAATCATACAATCCTATTGCATAAGTTAAAATGCGTAGGAGCGTCTCCGCTAACCATTCATTGGTTTGAAAGCTATCTGTCAGCCAGATCACAATACGTACGAATAGGATCAACTGTTTCCTCAACTAGCGCACTAACCCATGGAGTGCCCCAGGGCTCTATTTTTTCACCATTTTTGTTTGGAATTTACGTTAATGATCTACCAGCTGTAACGGTTTCAAGTCATCTCGACTCCTACGTTGAAGATTCAAAACTCCATTTTGCATTTCTTGTCGAAGACGTACAACAGACAATAGCTAAACTAGAAAACGACCTGTAGAAAACCGCTAAATGGTGCTTGAAACATCAATTATTTATCAATCTCACAAGACCAAATTCCTCTTAGCAGGCACACGATCAATGCTACAGAATTTACCAACACAAATCAATCTGAACTTTTTCGGAAAAACTCTTAAACCAGTTTCAGTTGTCAAAGACTTGGGGATGCACCTTGATTTACATCTCTCCTATAATGACCATATTTCTACACTGTCGTCAACGCGCATAAACAAATTATGTCAAATTCGTCGAGTAAAGGAGAGCTTTGATAAAAAAAACTTTATTAAAATTACTTATTGAAGCTTTGGTGATTAACAAGTTGTTATATAGTTCTTCGGTGTGGGCTAATACCTCATCGAAAAATCTGAAGAAATTGCAAACAGTCCAGAACTTTGCATGCCGAATCATCACGAGTATTAAAAAGTTTGACCATGTAACACCAGGTCGTCAAGAACTTAACTGGCTATCTATTGAAAACTTACTTATTTACAAAGACACGATAATGACTTATAAATGTCTGAACAACCTTGCGCCAGTTACCTTGTAAATAAATTCACAAAGCAATCTGATATTCATAATTGCCAGACTAGAAATAACTACTGTTTAAATATTCCAAGCTATATAAGTCCAAACCTTCTGAGCTGTTTCAACAGGTAAATTCGCTGGGATGCCTTATTGACTATTTTTTCCACGTGATCGTTCCATTTCAAGTCCTTTGTGATTGTTAAACCAAGAATCGATATTTTGTCAGCTCGTTCGATTTGTGATTGATTAATACTGATGGGGGAGGGGGGGGGGGGAATTTGGTTCATTCCGTTTAAAAGACACAACAAATTCTTTACATTTTGATGGATTAAGCTGGAATTTATTTCTTTCAGACCAGTCAACAATAGAATTAGTTACTTCTTGCAGAGAACTGTTTTCTGCCTGATCGGTGATGTATTCTGAAATATTAGTATCGTCCGCATATTTCATCATATCCCCATCAAATTGATCGTTAGAAACTACAAGGTCATTGATCATCAGCAAAAAGAGCCATGGGCCGAGTTTAGTTCCTTGAGGGACTCCAGCATTGACAGGTTTCCAATTGGAAAAACAGTTCGGGGAACGTTTTACCCTTGGTAGTCTTCCCCTCAAAAAGTCTGAAATCCAGTTTAAGGTTGATGTTTTTAGACCTATTCCCTGAAGTTTTCTATAAAGAGTATTATGATCTATAAGATCAAAAGCTTTCCGATAGTCCGTGACCAGTGAGCGCACACATCCTCCCTCTTTGTCTACTGTCTTTGACCAACGGTGGATTAAAGTAATTAAAGCCAGGGTGGTATTAGAACCTGGTATGAAGCCATATTGGTTACAATCCAGGCGATCCATTATTGCCGGTTTTAGATCGTATTTTATTACGGCATCTTCAGCGATTTTACTGAGTGTTGAGGTAAGAGATATAGGTCTAAGATCTTTATTAACATCTATCACCTGTTTAACTTTTGGGATTGGGCAGATGTTAGCCATTTTCCAGCAGGCAGGCACTCGATTTTCCTTAAATGATGTGTTTATAATGATTGAGATTGGCATTGCTAGAATAACTGCAAACTTCTTTAAGACCCAGTTGGGCAGGCAATCTGGGCCACTGAATTTTCCCAGCTTAACACCATTTAACGATTTAAAAACTACTTCTTCAGTCAAACAAATTATACTATTATTATCGGTCATGGTAATGGTACTATCAGATAGTGGCTGGTAGTCGCACATAGGTTCCAAGAAACAGTCATTTATCAAGTTACTAAGTGAATCGAGGTCTTGTGTATCTTGTTGCAGGTTTGCAAAGATATTACTCGTCGACTTTTGTTGATGACCACAGAGACGTTTCACCTCCTTCCACCAATCTTTAGGTTTAGTGTGTTTGAGTTCTTTCACCTTAGCTTCATAATATAATTTACGGCAGTTTTTCCTAGATCGATTTATTTTATTCCTTAACTGTTTATATAAAGCATGTTTGTTCTGTGCAAGAGCCTTTTGTCTTTTTTTAACCAAACGTTTCAGGTTGCTGTTCATTCAAGGTTGATCATTTTGATGAACCTTCACAGTCTTCAGTGGCATTAGGGTATTAAGTCCATACTTTATAACGTCAGTAAAGTTATTCAGGTTTTGATCACAGGACTGGTTTGGATTAACCACTATGTCCCATGGCACTTCGCATAAAAATCTTTCTGGGCGACGGATGCTGCTAGGCCTCTTGTCCCGCACGTTAATAATAGTTTCTTTAGATTGGTTACCACGAATTTTTTCTTTAGAAAAGGCAACAACAGTAAGGTGGTCCGATAAACCAAGTGGAGCAGTACTTAAAGGCTCTTCGTAGAAGTTGGACAAATTTGTCAAAATTAAGTCTAATTTACTTTTTCCTCTAGTATTAAAATTTACAATCTGCCTGAGTTGAAATTGATGGCTGATATGTCTTATAGGTAGTTTATTAAAATCTCCTGCCAGGATTAAGCCGCAGTTAGGATATCTGGTTTCCAATAACTCTAATGATGACTGTAAGTATTCTAGCATATCTGACTTATTTGCAGTGGGTGGGTGGTATAAAACTGCTGCGACGAGTGTTGAAAAGCCTCTTGATAACCTACATGGGTTGATTTTGACCCACAGCACTTCACATTCATTTTCATTTGGTATATCGGGGATAACATTCGCTACATAAGAAGCTTTTATATATATACATACCCCGCCATGTTCCTTTCCTATTCTGTCTCGTCGAAAGACTCTATAGCAATTGATTTCAATTACTTCATCGGGTACGGAACTTTTCAGCCACGTTTCACTAATAAAAACTAGATCTGCATTGTTTTGCTTTGTAACATGTTCTAACTCGTCCATTTCGGGGACCAGTGACATCACATTAGTTAGTAAAAGATTAGGAACAAATAAGATTAAAACGCATAAAGAAGGAAATCCTCTACGACTGATCACGTCATGCCGTGGCACAGCTATAGAGAACCTCTCAGCCTTTACAGACTTCTATCTTAAACCTCTTTCCCAGGCCCTCCCATCCTTTATTAAAGATACCACGCACTTACTTCAAAAAATATCTGAACTGAACGACACGGGTCCATTTCCAGATGGAACACTATTTGTTTCCTGGGATGTGGTCGCAATGTTCCCGAATATCGACAATGACTTGGGTCTTCTAGCTGTAACACAAGCATTGAACTCTCGCTCAAATCAATTTCCATCAACTGAATGCATCGTCGAAGCTGTTAAAATTTGCCTTGCACATAACAACTCTAGCTTTAGGAAAGAGCATTATCTGAAGATTCACGGAACAGCCATGGGCCCGAAGAATGCGTGTAGCTACGCGGATCTCACGATGGGCATTATCGATGAACGAGCGAAATCCGGTGAAATTAAACCTAATTTATGGTGGCGTTACCGGGACGATATTTTCGATCTCTGGACACAGGGTACTGCCAAACCACTCGAATTTACTGATTTCATCAATTCGTTGTACCCCACAATTAAATTTACGCTGGTTTACTCGGAAGTATCACTAAATGTTTTAGATCTTACCCTCACGTTAGTTGATGGCCTCATTCAGACAGATGTGTACTCGAAACCCACCGATAATCATCTCTACTTACAACGAAAGAGTGCATCATTGCATCAAAGTAATCCCCTTAGGAGTAGCTACGAGATTTAGAAGAAATTGCTCAACAGAAGAAGATTTTGATAAACGTAGCAACGAATATCAAAAGTACTTAACAAGGAGAGGATACCATCCGAATAATGTACACAAGCAATTCAACAAAGCGAAGTCCATTTCCAGAGAGGAACTACTGCAACATACCACGAGAGAGAAGAGAATTTTATTTCCGTTGGTTGTCGACTTCAACCCCAGGCTTCCCGATATAGGAAAAATCCTGAAGAAACATTTTCACCTTATCCAAGATTCACCAGAGTTATAAGAGATCTTTCCACCTAGATCTATAATACCATCCTTCAGAAGGTCAAAAACTATCAAAGAAATTCTTTCTAGGAAACGACGGCAGGAAACGAGCGGGGATCAAAGTCCAAAGGGGTGTTATAAATGTGGAAAGAAGTGCGACTTTTGCAACAACTACATGCATGAGTCCAGTACATTTGTCAGTAGTCAGACGGGGGTAAAGTACCCAACTAAAAAGAACATTTGTTGCAATTCTCAAAATGTTGTATACCTACAATCATGGCCAAAAACTTTGTGGACAGTACAAAATTGTAGCAAATTATATAATACATTTAGATATATTGCATAATATCTGTCATACCCCCACACCCCCATCTCAATGTTGCAGTCCAATATGATATATACAGAGTTGCCGAAGCGAAAACGATTTCAACATTGTTTTGGGGGAGTGGGGGCGTAAGTTATAGCATTAAATCCATCCTAAACGCATATGAGCCTACCTGTCCACATGATTTTGGCCAGGATTGTCTGAAAATTATGTGTTCTTAAAAATTGCTAATTTTTACGTAAAAACGAGTGAAAATACGAGAACTTTTGTTATGATGATATTATTTAGGATATTTGTGATCAATTAATAAGTTTTATGTACAATTTGATTTATTTTATTGTACAGTAGGTATAACCGAGGATATAAATATTAATTTACCTGTGTTACAGGATTTCAGGAGGTATAACGTACAGAAGCACAATCACGTGAATGCGCGTGATTATATTTATAAATAGCTCTATATCCAGTTATGACTTCATTTTAGTATTTGTAACAATATACTATTAATATTGCAATATGGCTGCGGTAGATACATGAAGCAGTCTCCGTAGTTCAGCAGTAAGAAGCGTATACTTAGTAACTTATAGTCGAGCTGATTTGAGCAAATTTCCGAATCGAAGAGATTTTGCTGAAGCACTCGTTACTTCGTTTGAGAAAGGTTCTGCTAAAGTGAAGCACTGGTGTTGTAGCAGAGAAAACCACGCGGATGGCGCTAAACATTATCACATGGTGTTGAAATTGCATAAGTCACAAAGATGGCTGCAATCCAAGAGGTTTCTCGAGGAAAATTTTGCCATAGAGGTAAATTATTCGAGTAATCATCATAACTACTACAGTGCTTGGCGATACGTCACAAAGGAGGACAGTAGCTATGAAGAAAGTGAATCACACCCAGATCTTAATAGCTATAAAGAACCGAAGACCACCAACGCGAGCATGGCCAAAATACAAACTGGTCAAAAACGCAGTGCCGCAGTGCAGGGGAGAGGAAATGTATGCAAAGGAAAAAAGCGATCTAAAAAAGAAAAGGAAAAGCGTTTGAGCGCATTTGACGTCTCTGAAGTCATTCTTAAAAGAAATATTAAAACAATGACAGAGCTACACGCATATGCTCACGAACAAAGAGAGGAGGGAAAGACAGACTTAGTTCAGTTCATCTTGTGCAAACCACCCAAAGCAATTCAGGACTTGCTAGACACTACTTGGCGCATGAAAACTGCCAAGGAAGTATTAGAACGATGTAAGAAAAGTCGAATGGAATTGTTTAACGAGGCGTCAAAGCAAGATTGCCGAGCAGGATGTAACGGTGTCTGGCTTCAGTGCGCAAAACAGATTCTCGAGAACAATGGAATCGATAAGAGGAAATTTGGGCAAGCGGTTGTTGACCTATTAAAAAAGGACGTGGGAAGCATCGCAATCTCATGATCGTTGGTCCAGCCAACTGTGGTAAAACGTTTATTTTAAAGCCATTGACTGAACTTTATAAAACATTTTAAATCCCGCTTCGGGATCGTTTGCATGGGTTGGCGTAGAAGAAGCGGAGTGCATTTTTTTAAATGATTTTCGGTGGAGCCCCACGTTGATACCATGGCACGATCTGTTGTTAATGTTAGAAGGGGAGTTGGTTCATTTGCCAGCGCCTAAAACGCATTTCGTCCGAGACATCGAGCTGGTCAAAGATACGCCGATATTTTCCACCAGCAAGAGGCCATTAATCTTTATCAAAAATGGCACTGTGGATGATCTGGAATCAGAAATGATGGCCGTACGCTGGAATATTGTATCATTCAATTTCCAAATTCCACAAGATCAGCAACGGAATATACCACCTTGTGTTCGCTGTTTTACGGACCTTTTATCAGCAACTGAATCAAGCCTCAGTTAAACACGTAGACTGGTATCATATTTCATTATGTTATGAAGCCATATGCTATAAATGTATACCACGGTCTACAGACACGGTCTACAGTCAGTTGAAGTGCTTTTCAATGTTTTTTTCACACTGGAGAAAAAAGTATTTAAACTAATTTGTTCTTCAATGTGTTAACCTGATTAAAGTCTTACGGTTAATGTAATACACAGTTTGGGAAAGGGCGTATATCTCAAATCACCACGGTCTACACATAAAATGTGCTATTCTTGAATATTAATGAGATCTTGCTAAATTGTTATTAAGGCTGATCTATTTGTGTGTAGACCGTCGTAAAATTTTCATTTTTGTATATATCAAGTTGTTGCTACCTTATAACAAACTATTTGAATTTAAGCTAAATTCTAACGTTAAAAACATCGTTATATGTTTTAATAATTTGTTATTTTGAAAGGCTATAATTTTTGTAGACCGTCGCACGTAGACCGTCACACAACAATCTGTACTACAGTACTATATACGTGTATCTATATATAGCACATGCTGTTTGTTTCGTTTTAGATATAATTAGAATCTCAGTTGCTGGTGGGAAAATAACTTTTAATACACGTTAAAAATGAAATATACACACAATCCATATTTAAAGTTTTTCATGTTATTTCGTTGATATTATAAATGTTTTTAGTTTACAAATAAAGTTTGATTATAGTTTGAAATACATGGAAATATAGATACATAATTATATGGTTTCTACTTATATATTTCTATTTGCATTAACGTTAGTGGTACCCATGAGTATTTCAAATTAACCTCGTATATATCATGGAAATCTTAGACATATTTACATAATTAATACTTAATTCGCTTACCCTTCGATGCTAATATAGCCTCGATGCGTTTAGGCATACTCTCAATTGTGCGATCTAAAATGCTCATATCTACATTGTCAAAGCAACGCAAAACTCTATTCTTAAACTCATCGAAACTTTCTTTCCTTATTTGTAAGTCAATAGCTTCTTTTTCCAGACTAGTTTTAACAATATGAAACACATTTTCGATAGGGTTTACATCGGGTGAGCGTGCTGGGATTTGATGAAGTTCACATTCAATTTCTTTTAAGGCAGACATTGCCTTTTTGCTTGTCTGGGATGGATCATTGTCCATTACGAATAGACGCTTTCTATCAGCTTTAGGACCGGCTTTTCCAAAGCACA